GGTTTAAACCATCCTTATCAACTGCTTGACTCATTGGCTTTCTCTCATCACAAGTAGGGTTGCGGGCTTCGGGACTTTGGTCGGTGCTGGTTTTGGGACGTCTATTGGGCCCCAAGCTAGGCTCAAGAAATCAATTTATTTTCAGGGCCTGACCAGGCCATAGAGCACACACTAGTCTCGAAAATCCTGGATGAGAATCCCAAATGGCCGCAAATGGTCCGAGCTGGGCCACAAATTCGAGCCAATTTCAGGCTTGGTATGGACTCCGACCAGGCTAGGGAAAGACAACCTTTATTGGGCTGGGTCGGGCTTTTAACAGGCCAGCCTGAAAACCCTAAAACCCTTCTTGCCCTCCTCCCTGCCCCTTCCTGAAAGCCCACCCCGTCTCTCTCTCTCTCTCTCCATCCACCAACTCTCTCTCCTCCCCCTCCATCCACCAACTCTCTCTCTCTCACTCGAAAAAAACCCTAAAAGATTGTCCTAATTGTTTCGATCTCAATACACATGGAGTTTCAATTGAAAGTTCTAAAAAATTGGATTTCTAGAGAGAGAATAGGTTTTTAGAGAAAAAATGAAACAAGGAGCGGTGGAGTGAGAACTCAGGTTTTTAGACCGAGAGAGAGAGAGTGAGTGGATTTTTAGAGAGGGAGAGGGGGGTGTGTGGAAATGGTGAATGAGGTGGTGAGTGGCCATGTGTACTCACCCCTCTTCCCAATGCTTTTTAAAGGGTTTTCAATTTTTTTTAAAAGTATTTTAGTGTATATTTATTTTATTTTATTTCATTTCGCTTACTATGAACAAGAAAAGTTTAAAGAGAGATTTAAAAAAATGCTTCCCAGCCCAATAAATATCTTTTGGGCCAGACCGGGTTGTTGCATGATATATTAAAGCCGGGCCGGGCCAAATAGTTTCCAGGAGTTTTCGAGGCCCGGCCTGGTGGCTGCCCTCTCATCAAGAATTTACTTACCCTTCCTTCTGCTCAACAATGTTAGCAAAACCAGTCGGGCCGACCCAGATCTGTCCAGGTTACCTATAGCAGGCCACTAGCCGTGGCTGGTTTTAGCTGGTTAGGGTAGTCAAGCCAAGAACATAAAAAAAAGTGAAGAATTTATAATAAAAATTTCAAAAAAGAAAAGAAATTTGTTTCAAAATCCTTGTTGACTACTTTTTTTAATCTCATTTTGATATATTTTGTTTAATTATACTTTAAACATGCTTTTATACTTTTTTGAGATATTTTTATATGTTTTAAACTTTTAAACCTTTTAGCCTAGTCGAGACCTGTTCGGTCAGGGCTGGCTACTGTGACCCAGCCCATGGCCGAGTTTCATTCCCAATTTGTGTTTTCTAACACTGCTACTACCGGATGAATTGGTTTGAAGCAGCGTTTTAAAGCTTAAATGGGTGGGGCAGATTGTTTCGATCTCAATACACATGGAGTTTCAATTGAAAATTCTAAAAAATTGGATTTCTAAAGAGAGAATAGATTTTTAGAGAGAAAAAAAGAGAAGGAGTGGTGGAATGAGAACTCAGGTTTTTAGACCGAGAGAGAGTGAGTGGATTTTTAGAGAGGGAGAGGGGGGGGTTTGGAAATGGTGAATGAGGTGGTGAGTGGCCATGTGTACTCACCCCTCTTCCCAATATGTTTCATTCCCAATGCTTTTTAAGGGGTTTTCAATTTTTTTTAAAAGTATTTTAGTGTATATTTTTTTTTTTTATTTCGCTTACCATGAACAAGAAAAGTTTAAAGAGATAGATTTAAAAAAAATGCTTCCCAGCCCAATAGATATCTTTTGGGCCAAGCCGGGCTGTTGCATGATATATTAAAGCCGGGCCGGGCCAAATAGTTTCCGAGAGTTTTCAAGGCTCCGCCTGGTGGCATCCCTCTCATCAAGAATTTACTTACCCTTCCTTCTTCTCACCAATGTTAGCAAAACCAGTCGGGCCGACCCAGATCTGTCCAGGTTACCTATAGCAGGCCACTAGTCATGGCTGGTTTTAGCTGGTTAGGGTAGTCAAGCCAGGAACATAAAAAAAGTTAGGAATTTATAATAAAAAGTTCAAAAAAGAAAAGAAATTTGTTTCAATATCCTTGTTGACTACTTTTTTTAATCTCATTTTGATATATTTTGTTTAATTATACTTTAACATACTTTTATACTTTTTTGAGATATTTTTATATGTTTTAAACTTTTAACCCGTTTAGCCTAGTCGAGACCTGTTCGGTCAAGGCTGGCTACCGTGA